CCCCTTTTGCTGCTGCCACGTCAGGTCGCTCGACTTACTGCTTTCAACATGAAACCTAAATGTCTGTTCGCGTTCCTCTAGCTTCAGCCGCATGCCCAGGTTCACCGGGAATCTCCCGCCGCGAATGTAGTAAATTAACGACACTGGGAAGCCCGTCCTCTCCACTGTACCTTTAGCCACTTCGTCGAAGCAGTTCTCTTCATCTCCTCCCTGATTTCGCGGTGTAGGATACGCGTGAATGGACACAGTATTCCCTCTGTAAGCAAGGCCTGCGAGTTCATCATCCGGGTTGTCACTGCCTGCTAATTGGTTGAATAACCTGTCTTTCTGTCTGCCTGACAGACACTTGAACTCCTCAGCTCCTTCCTTGGAAAGTGTCAAGTCAACTTGATCAGTGCTGTCCACGTCATCGTCCATATCCTGCGACGGCAGTGTGGCTCGGATCATATGCTCGCCATAGTTTTGTATGATTAGGAACCGAAGACAACGCACTCATCGCGTTTGCCAGAGACCGTATCTCGTGCGAATTTAAGTAGCTTCTTGTCCACCCGCTGTGTACTCGCATACGTCTCCAACTTGCTCAACACTTCACGTCCTTTCGCGTATATAAGCTGACTGAACTCGGGCGTTTGTGACAGCGAAATCAACCGCTTGCACAGATCAGAAATCAAATAGTTCAGCGTTTGGTATCGACGAGAGGAGATAGCAAACTTGTGGAAATCCCACGCAGATTGCTCTTGATGTTGATTTGTTGGTCGCTCATCGTTTCCATGTAGAAGAGCCAAATAGACAAGGGCTCACTCCACATTCCTCCATCGAGTTTTAGCTTTGCTTGGAGGTTCTTCTTCATTTCTTTCAGATAAGTTTGCGCTGACCGGATGTGGTAGAATGACAGCATTATAAACAGATCCGGTGTTGACAGGATTGATACCAAGATGACAGTATGCAGCAGTAGTGGACACGATTCAACCTGGTCCGTGTTGTCTTGTACAGTGTACAACCCAGTCATTAGCAGTCGACACAGCTGAAGACTGAGTGGTAAGTGGCAGACGAAAGACCCGAACCTTGTCAAACGAGAGTCCTTCTCATCTTCCGAGTCAATCGCATCAAAAGAAGCCAACAACCTGTAGGCATTGTCGATATGCGAGAGGTCTGGAGCATCCAAAGCTCCGCGTAGAAGAGAACTCGGCACTTTAAACTCGCTCAGACGTCCGGTGAACTGCAGGATGACGCGGTCCAGCGGCTTGCGTAACAATTCTGGGGTGGTGTACTGAGCCATACACGAGCCATGGAATGCCTTCGTAAACAAGTGAAATGCCTTGCCAGGCATCACTCGTCCAGCACGTCCAGAACGCTGGATAGACGAGTCTTTCGAGCACCAATTAGCCTTCAAAACTTCTGCATGTAATTTTTTAACGCTGGACAGCTCGATCTGCTTCTCAACTGCGCAGTTAATCACATGCGTGACATCCGGGATGGTTACGGGAAAAGATATACCATCACTGCCACAAATGTCATACAATGCTTGCCTAGGTTATTGTGGCCAAAATGCAAATACCTGAAATAAAAAGAACTA